CTTTATCTTAGTAAATTTTAGGACGGCTTTGTAAATAGCAACATGCTCATGTATTATTGCACTTTTTTTGTGTGTTTGGACATAAAATTTTATTGGTTAATGAAATAAGTATACCCATAACAGATAACAAAACAAGTAATAGAACACAGGTAGTTGAACAGGAAGTGAAAACAGGTATTTGAACAGGAATTGAACAAAACAAATAATTGAAGTTCGTGTAAGTTACAGATAAGTTTTTCTTTTTAATAAAAGTTATTACTCTGATTAATTAATGCATAAATATTATACTTTTAAGCAAAATTTACACAAAAATTCTAAATTTTAAGGGAAAAATATCAATCATGCGTGCAATGGAATTACCAGTAGTTGGTTACACATTCTTCAGATTGTTGATTTTATAATTTTATGAGATAAATTCAACAAAGAAAGGGAAAAAATGACAGGATCTGCAGGAATTAAAAACTATTCTTAAAATTTACGAACACTTATTTCGTACATTAGAATTTCATTGTTGAAATTTCAATATGCAAATATTTGTCTCTCATATGTTATACTATATACCTCGTATGTTATATATATAATTATTTCTCTTATAGTATATATCTCATTAATGTGAATTTTTAGTTTAACTTTTCAGACAATGTTCTCCCTCACACATGGCGCATAATATAAATGATATCATCCAGAAGAACGTTTATTTTAATGATCGAATTTTCGCGGTTTAAAGGTCAATAATAATGGTTCAAAGAGGCAGCAAACATGCTAACAATTAATTACGTTACACAACCTAACATAAACGTTCTTTTTCTGAATAAAAATACATTTTTTTCGACGAATTTGGTTTTTTGACTATCAAAACACGAAGGATAGCCACAGTCTGGAAAATATGGTCCCAATAGTTTAATTGGGAGAGCGGTCTAAAGTTTGGGTTTCTTAATGTTAATCTTACCTCTTGCGAATTTTGCTATATACCTCGAAAACTTTTGAAGGAAATTTAAAAACATTTTTCACGCCACTGTGAAATTCGTTTATCTAAAAATAATGCCATGTAACAATTATTTATCAATACGTTTTTTGATTAGTTTTTTATGTAGGTTCTATGAAATTTGTAATTTTAAGGTATACACATTTTTGCATAATTTTAGACTCGGTAATTTAAAATGGCAAAGTACAAAATTTGAACAAAATTGGCCGAATATTTCTGAATGAATAAAATTTTTAAAATAATTTGTTGAAAATAACTCAGAAACTTTCAGACCGATTTCGCTAAAATTTCGTTTGCTCTTATTAATGCACATTTTAAACCATTAAAATTGACACTTTATCAGTGAACATTTGATAAGTCGATCAAAATTAACGTGACATTTTGCGCACTATACCTCCTTGAAATAAGCTGAAATGTATTTTTTTTTTATTTTTTTATTTTTAAGATTTGGAGTTTTCCTTTAAAACTCTAAAATAGTTTAAAATGTCTTAATGTAGAGTATTGAAAGACTCGTACGAGTATTTATGTAATAGACGATAGAACAAAACAATAATACATACAATAATGGAAGAGATACTTTTAGATTTTGACATTTTTATGAATTTCTTAAAAAGTAACTTTAGAGATACTTAGGTCATTCGTAGGATTCACACCAGCAGAAAGAATTTAGTGATCCAATAGGGCCACCTAGATTTTCATTTAGTTGTCAGAAAATTTAATATGGTCGACAAACTTAAAAAAAGAAAATCCAACTCTATAATTGAATATTTTATGTCATGGTACACATCAGAGATTATTAATTGCCATTTATTACACCCTAAAAAAATATTAAATATTTCAATCTATGTTAAATGGTGTTCAATGCTCAGAAAATTCAAAAAGTTAAACAAAAATTTTAAGTTAAGCACCCCATTGCTGTTAAACTAACCATGAATAAATTTCGTTGCTTCTCTCTCCATGAAACTCAAAAGTAGTTCTTGAAAGTCTTTCACAAAAAAAAAAGTTTGTTCCAGTGCTTAAACCAAGGGTTTCTTTAGCGATAAGTCCCGCAGTGGACTGATTGTAAAGACACGATTCCCAGTAGAACATCACTGGCTGCGGTCAATAAGCAGGTGGGTGACCACTTTGACAAAGCCTACGTAGGGACCGAGGGTGCACGGTATCTGCCCTCGTTAAACTGTTCTACCGTAAAGTGTTCGACTTTGCGTGCAGGTCGTCGGGCTACCAAAGAGGAGGGGACATTTGCTCTGCAGAGGATCAAAATTGTGATGGCATGTCTCTGGATCATCCTCGGGGATGTTTCCCAGACCATCGCCCATTGTGCAGCTCTAGTGCGTCGTAAATAAAATACCTACCTACCTGTAATTATGTGATAAAAATTGTAATTATGTGATGAAAAAAAATTCTATTCTATATTGTGATAAGCTTGGAGTGAAGACGTTATTTTCCATAATTTTTTTTAAAGAATGAATTAACCCCTTAATGATCTGTTGAATTTATAATAAATTTATAAAGTAAATATATAAAATATATAAACCTATAAAAATGTGAAATGAAAAAATAATTAAAATTATTCCGCACATGCACCGTATGAAACTACTTTAAATGCTCGTATCTTCAAATTTTAATGCTTTTTTTATAAGTCTTAAATTAGCAATTTTGATATTAATTGAAAATAGTTCCAAAAATTTTGGTAAATTTTGCTGATTATTTACAAAGTTATAGACAAAAAATGTAAGACAAAAAAAAATAGTTTTCTCATAAAAATGTCCATATATCCATAAATATGTAAGCTGCGTGTACGAAATTTTAGGAAATTATTGCAAATAACAAGCAGAGTAATCAATGCAAGTTACAAGCTTATTGCGATATTTTTTGGCATAGGGTGTTCAAAAAATAATCGTAATTTGTTACAGGTCGCTTAATTCTCTGAATGCTGTAAAACTTTTTGATAAGTATGAGAAACTGCATGACCTAAAGTTATAAAATAATTCTCTAAGTATTTCTTAAGAAATCTTTTGTAATTGCCTTCAAACTACTATATTTTAATTTTGCCATTTAAACATTTTTCTCCTGCCTCGTAAATTTTTGGTCAAGTTTTGATTAAATTTTTTCCTGTTATTTTGTGACATCTAACAAGACAAATATTTCAAGTTCACTTTTGAAAAGAATTTTAAAAATATTATTAACGGACATTATGTATGGGAATACTCTGTGTGTAAGAAAAGTTTTTTTTTACATAACATTTATCTTGCATATAATATAATTTAATTGACATTTAAAAACTGTTTTGATTGAGCGGATTGATTTACATTTCTTCATTTCGTATGACAAAACCAAGCAAATATATTTAGCTTAATTTATAGTTATAATGCATTTTTCTGAAAGCTAACAAAAAAATTTTCGCGAAAAAGTTTATTTGTGTTGATTTCGTAAAATTTATTTGTGAAAAAGAAATAGCAATTATTAAAAAAAAGTTTGTTTGGAAAAAAAGTGAGTTGATTATAATGTGCTTACCACTAATAAATAATAAATAAAATTGTAATGAAAATATTTTGTTAATGCGATTAAGATTATTGGATGATTTCACAATTCAGTACTGTACATGACAAATGAAATTTATTTATTTCTTAAAAGAAAGTATTTCACAAGTATGTACTATGCTTTAAATATCAGTCTCTAAAAATTGTTTCAATCATAATCACATAAAATACTAAAAAAAAAATTATAATTTCTAATTATCTCTTTTCCGTAAAAAATCTTATTATGTTAAATTCTTATATGTGTTTAATTTTCAAACGTCATTAAAACAGATGATAAATTGTAAAGTTTAAAATTAATAATTATAATTATAATTATAAGAAGAAGAAGAACACCAATTGATTTCGTTAATTTTAATTACTGTAGTAATTGTAGGTTTTCATTGTGCTTTGTGAAAAGTTAGAGTTGAGCTACCATCAAAAAATTTTTAAAAAATTCAAATTCTTTTTTAATGTGACAGTTAATAACAGCTTCGGTCAGAATATTTTCAATGTTTAAAAAATGTTCTGGTTATAGAAATTTTATTTAATTCTAATATTTATTTAAATTTGAAGAAATACTGCATAAATCCATCTTGATTCGCGAGACAAGCTAGCTGTTAATGAAATAGTGGTTAATCATAATAAAGTAATTGCTCTTTCGCTTCTTCTTCGAACATAAATTTTCCCTTTGAAACCTAACAATCTCACTCTTGCTGAGAGAAATCTTTCTTCATACCTTACTATATAGCAACCTCTTCATCAGGTAAACGCCAAGAGAAGCTAAATTCTCTCTACATGTTGACGATGGGATACCGCAGCTGAAAGTCCTTATCTTGACGGCTAAAGATGTTGGCGAGACATGGAATAAACCGCAACTTATTGAGGTGAAAAATTTTCTGTAATTAGTGAGGCTCATCGGACCTTATATAAGGTTTCTCCGGAATTCTCGAAGCCTTGCATTGGCAATTTCGCTTCTCTAATAAATCACTTTAATGCACAGGTAGTATCGGAGCCATCGAAAGACAATACGACTAAGAATGGACAGACATGCACAGGATTAAAAAACAGCAAACTGGAATTTATTTAAACATCATAATCAGAGAACGAACATCCAAGTGACACACCAATCGAAATGCTTACCAGTAAAAACTAGGGACTATCTTTCAAAATAATGTTTTGTCTTAAGAAAAAAGGGAAACCCGAGTAGTTACAATTGGTACATTAAATAGGTCGAGACAAAAACATGTTTCTAAAGGTTAGTAAAGGAAAACTGTAAATGTTAAAATACATACATATTTAAGATCTAAATATAGAATAATAAAAGAGGAAGTGAATAATTACGTGTCAGAAAGCGTTTAAACTTGAATTTAAGTAAGGAAGAAGATTTAGATAAAGGAATAACATCAAAAGATTAGTTGAAGCTTTTTATGTTACATATATATATATATTTATGCATTACCCGAATATATTTTTATGCATGTACTTTTTTTAAGGTAATAACGTGCTGGTTTTTCGGGAGAATGGAAAAGTTCTTCACAAATTTGGTAGTCGTCCTTCAGATCCTGGCAGGTTTACAGGTCCGCACTATGCAGCTGTCAATAGTAAAAATCAAATTGTTGTCTCTGATTTTCATGGCCATTGTATAAAGGTAATATTTCCACAATAATATTATTAATATAATATCAATTTACACTAGCATGCAAAAGGTTTTGGTCAACCTGTGGAGGGCATTTTGGTCTTCCTGATTTTTCCATTGTTCTTATTTGAGCCCCAATGTTACACTTCATTTCGAAATTTTATATCTTCTTGCTATTTTATTGTAAATGTAACCCATTTTGGATAAAATCTTTGTTCAAAGCTCAGTTGAATATTCCTTTCTTTTTTCCCCTTATTTCGAGTCACGAAAGAAAAAATTCACCAAAAACAAATGTCAGTATTAAATTAATATTACACATATAAATTACAATTAGAATACAATAATTAAATATGCGAAAACCTATACTTATTGAAACATATTGTATTTTAACTAAATATTATTATTGCAAACCCAGAAATTCATCTAATACTTATTTTGATGAACAGTGCGCAAAATAAAAAACGGACCACCCTAAATAACTGATCTAATGTTCAGATTTTCACGTTCTAGGACTCAAACTTAATGGTCCAAAGGAGTGACTCCAAATAGGCTACAAAATTACTGCAGACGATATTTTAAGTAACAAAATCATACGTAAAAACGTACTTTTCCTGAAAAATTATACTTTTTTTCGACGAAATCGGATTTCTGACCCCCAAAATATAGGAGATAGTCGCAATCTGGGAAATATAGTTCGGTTATAATAATTTAATAATAATTGTTTAGTTATGAGAGCGGTCCAAAGCTTGTACGACCTAATGTTTATTTTAATTTTTGCGTATTTCGCCACAACTAGAGAACCCTTAAATGAAAAAATTTTGCCTACAATTATAAACTCTTTTGTCGAAGGATAATTCCAAGCAAAATATAACTTTTACTAGATATTTATTATTTTTATTATTTTATTTAATAACAGTCAAAACATTTTTTAATTATACGGAATATAATTTTTTACATCATTTTAAAGAATGTAATTTTAAATGGCAAAATATAAAATTTGAGTGAAATTGGTGAAATAGTTATTAAGAAATCAAATTTAAAAAATATGACTTTTTCAAAATTCGATTTTGAAGGTTGAACCGATTTAAAAATATGACATCGAATGAATATGAAATCGAATTTTAAAAATATGANTTTGAGTGAAATTGGTGAAATAGTTATTAAGAAATCAAATTTAAAAAATACGACTTTTTCAATTTTTTATTCGATTTTATTTCGATTTTTTAGGAACTATGTCACCGATTTCGCCCAGATTTTGTATTTTAGTATTTAAAATTGAAATCTTTGAAATGATATAAAAAAATTGCATACTAATAATTTTCCGACTGTAATTAAATGAAATAAAAACGATAATCAATATTTCCTAAAAGTTATATTCTGCATGAAATTATCTTCTGACAAACGAGTTTTATAATAGTGGGCGAATATTTTTAAATTCGCTTAAAAAGTTTATGAGAAATCGCGAAAAAGGAAAATTAACATTAAGGGGTTCAAACTTTGAACCACTTCATAACCAAACAATTAGGACCCTATTTCCCAGAGTGCGGCTATGGCCTATATTTTGGGAGTCAGAAATCTGAATTTAATTCACTTAAAAGGTTATGGTGATATTCGCAAAAATTAAAATAAGCATTAAGTCGTACAAACTTTGGACAGCTCTCATAGCCAAACTATTATTATTAAATTATTATAACCAAACTATATTTCCCAGATTGTGACTATCTCCTATATTTTGGAGATCAGAAATCCGAATTCGTCGAAAAAAAGTATAATTACTCAGGAAAAGTACGTTTTTGTGTATGATTTCGTAACTTAAAATATCGTTAGCACTAACTATGAAGCCTATTAGGAGTCACTCCTTTGAACCATTAAGATTGAGTCCTAGAACGTGAAAATCTGAACATTAGGGGATCAAAAGCTATTTAGGGTGGTAAATTTCTTATTTTGCGTACTGTGCATCAAAGTAAGTATTAGATGAATTTTTTGTTAATAGATGAATTTCCAAACTATTAAGATCATATTTCCCAAGTAAAGGCTACAACATATATTTTGGGGGACAGAAATCCGAATCAATGGAAAAAGAGGTATGTTTCTTCAGAGAATGTACGTTTGTGTGTCTGAAATCGTAACTGAAAATATTGTCTGCAGTAATTAATTGGCATATTTGAGGTCCACCATTGAACCTTTAAGATTGAATCCTAAAGCATGAAGATCCAATCATTAGATCTAAAGTTATTCAGGGTGGTCAGTTTTTTATTTTGCGCATACTGTATAAAATTTTAATTGAGTTTTAAAGCGCTGCTTTCTCGTTGATAATAACACTAAACATGTTTAGAATTGGAATTATACATTATTTTACTACATTTTGAATACTGAGTTTGACCTAAGACTTTTGCATGTTTTTTATGTCTTTTTTTCCCCTTATGTTTCCACCTACAATACCCTCACGACACACTGTGATAAATAGTTTCTTTTCATTTGTCTGAAGCTGTATTAAAATTTTTGTGTTTTTGTAGATTTTTGATGCTGAAGGTAGTTTTCTAACTTCTTTTGGATCCAACGGAGAGGGAAATGGTCAGTTTAATGCACCTACGGGAGTAACCATTGATGATCAGGACAACATTATTGTTGCTGATTGGGGAAACTGTCGTATTCAAGTAATAAACTTCATATGTATGCTGCTATATGATAACCAAACATACCTATGGCATTTGCTTTTAAAAAAAAAATTTGATACATTTCCTTTTTGATGAATAAGAATTCTAATATTATCTAAGAATCGTGAAATATATGTATGTACAGAGAGAGAGAGAAAACATGGAAAAAAATGTAATAAAGAATTATAAACGAGATGAAAAATTATTAACCCTAAAATAATATGAAATGTTAAAAAAAAATTTTTTAAAAAATATTTAAAAAAACAATTATTAAAAAGCCGAAAAACAAAATAATGAAAAAAATATAATCTCGTGATCAGCTCATACGATTATAGCCGCTAAAAGGAGTGCTTTCTAATATTGTATTAACAGAATTAAATTAATAGATTTAAAAGAATATATAGTAATGTTTATTTATCCACAAAGAAATAGACAAACTCTTTCAAAATTTGATTTTAAAAAAACTGATATGCAACTAATATGATTACAGAAATCCGTACATCATCGAGTTAATTAAATGTTATTATTAATAATAAATTTACTAAAGACTTTTTTGTTAACTAAATTTATATTTCTACCATGTGCAAGTCCATGTGGCGAATTCGTGGCAAAAAATCTGTGCAAACGAGGCAAATCATGTTTCTTTCGTAAATGCATGTTAATTCCCTAAGACCATCAAAATTGTGCATTTTAATATCAAACTTATTAATTAAAAAACTCTAAATTATCCAGTATAATATAATTACCTTGCGCACATTCATTTTCGAGCCTATCTAAGGTAACTAGTAAACCAAACGCGCATCAGTACTGCAGTAAGAACCCTCTATCTACGCTTCTAACCTCTATTTCCGCTTCCATTTTCATATTTTATAATCTGACAGGCTTAATACGAAAATAATTTAAATTATTCTTGAAGGATTGCGGTACGTGTAAGTTCATTTGTTTTCGCTACTCGTTTATAAATAACGATTTGTGTTTTGTTCTGTATTTTTCTGGCATTTTATTTTCTGTTTTTTGCTTGATATGTTTAATTTCGTATATTTTTCCTAAAAGTGTTCTGTTTTCGCTTCAATTTTTTTAGTGCTTTTCACACTATTATATTGATATAGTATTTTGCTTTGGCTATATTAATACAATACTAGAAAGCATTCATTTTTGCGGATATAATCATGTGAGCTGATGACGAAATTATATCTTTTCATTATTTTGGATGCCAACTCTTCAATTTATTTTTTTAAATAAGATTTTTTTAAATAGTTTTTAAAATTGTATATTATATTTAATTTAATAATTTTTCTTCTCTTTTCATTAATCTCTATTGTATTATTTTCCCTGTTTCCTCTATATTTTTAAGTATTTTATGAGTTCTATATACTTGCAGCTTACTACAGTAAATAAAACTTTTTAATTTTCTTCATTTTTCTCTTTTCTTTTTATCCTTTTCATCTTTATTGTGAGATATATGTATATTTTTGTCATAGTGAGTTTGCTGTTTGTCGAGAATACCTTTACGAAGACGAAGAAGCCATTATCAACAACTCATTGACTTTGAACGTGGTTGCGTGATAGGGCTGCGAGAAGGTGGATTTTCTTCCCGCGATATTGCAGAAAGACTAGGGTGAAATATTCCCACTGTGCCTGATTTTCTTTTAATTTAATACCATCGTTAAACAGCCGACCCAATTTTGGGTTTACGATTATAAATGTTCAACTCAGTAGCCTTGTAATTTTGAACCCAATCCAGAAGACAAGGGAACTCCTGGTTCAAGTAATCGGAGAAATTTGCCTTCATGTAGGACGTTTAATGAAAATAACCCATCTTTGCGTTACATGGAGAAGAAAACCACGAAAACATCCCTTTAGTTAGTTGGACGGCAAGGGAACTCTAACCAATGAACTGTCTACCACTGAAGTTATTTTACGTCAGCACTGTGGCCGGATGGGGAATTCGTATCAATCAGCCATCGCTGGGATTCGAACCTGCTTCACCTCATTGGAAAACTAACGCTCTAACCCCTGAGCTATCACGGCTCATTGTGCCTGATCGTTGGCAGCAGTGGTCTAGGTGAGGTACTGCTTCAAGAAAATCGGGTTCTTGGTGGTAACATGGCACTACTCAGAGGGAAGACCACAGTGTACGGCGAGTGGTTGCGGCACACCGCACTGTGTTTGCATGAGAAAGAGAAATTCGAGCTGTAGTTGGCACTGCACTGACACAACGAACTGTTACAAATCGCTACATTAAGTGCAGCTCCGAGCGAGACGCCCTATAGCTTGCATTCCACAGTAGGGGAAAAATGGGGGTTCGGTAGTAGCAGGAGGGGTACAACTCAATATTTCAGATTCGGCTATTGCCGCAGTAGGAGAAATACAACTCAACAATCTATGACGACTGCAGTTTTTCTACGATTGTGAGATCCCTTCTTTAGATAAGGTTTTATCAGATTATTATTTTTTTTTAATCTTTTCTTCAGAAAGTAAAAGAATTATTTTTATTTTCGGGACTTTTTCGCAAGCTAGTATATTTTATTATGTTTTCAATATTTAAATTAATATTTTAAATAAATCATTTTTTTTTTTTTTTTTNTTTTTTTTTTTTTTTTTTTTTTTTTTTTTTTTTTTTTTTTTGCAGTTGAAACTTGATATTTACTTTGATTTCTAAAATGAAGCCTTTTATTAGAGATTTCATTTTTAATAATTATAAATGATGTGGTTAGTAATTTTAATCTGATTTTTTAATTTGATTATCCTATTTTAAGCTAATTTTTCTTCACACACACTTTTGTTCTTGTTCAATACTCGTGGATCCATCTAGTGAGTGAAATAGATGCTAATTTTATAAAACACATTAGAAAGAAAAAAAATTTTGTAAGAGGAATACTCATGCTGCCATCTATTAGAGGAGGTCCCAACACTATTTTTGTGTAATTTAAACAGAATGTCTGCTAAAGTAATATATACATGTAATATTTAAACACGAGATTCGAAAAAGCAATCTTATATTAACAAAATGTTTTCATGATACAACAGTTTTCAGCCGACGTGTTAAAACCGTTGTCTCAAATTTAATTCTATCAATATTATCAATTATCAATATTTATTAGAGATTATCAATATTTTCACGTTGACGCAAATTTTCTAAAGCCTTCCCGAGCATGCTATTGTTCATAAGCTTATAGAAATCTTCATCGAAGGAATTAGTTGCCTTTTTTTCTCATCTCTGTGTCAAAATTTATGAATGTTTGTAACCAAGCTTCTTGTTTGAAACGTAAAATTTTATGTATTTTTTTCAATTTTAACCCTAATTTTAAATATAACTTTAAGTTTCTGTAATGGAGTACATATCTATTCTTATCATATAAATTAGGTATTAGTTTTGAAACGTTTGAGGGGTTATTCTCATTTAATTCTGCCGCTACTCTCTGAGAATAGGGTAAAAGCATATCTGTTGTAACTGTTAATTGTTCCGGAGCGACAGGTAAATCGCTATGCAAATCATGAATTTCCGTAGGATATTCCAAGTCTACCTAGAGAATCATTCCCTCTTCCTGATCATCTGACATATTTAATATGTCACAAATTTTTCCATGTGCAAATCCATTTCGGGCAAATCCGTGGCTAAAATTATGTGCAAAACAGGCAATTCATGTTTCTCTCTCTTTTCTATTTTATATTTTTTTCTTAAAAAAATATTTATTTCCTAAAACTATTTATAGTCAACTTCTTTAAATTATCCAGTATAATATTACCTTGCGCAGATCTCTTTTTGGGCCCATCCTTGGTAACTAGCAAATCAAACACACTTCAGTAATGCAGTAAGAACGCACTTTAAAACAAAACTCTTCTAGTTACGCTCAATTTGCGCTTTTGTTTTCCTATTTTGCAATCTGGCAATCTTGTTACGAAAATATTTTAAATCATTCTTGAAAAATTTCCCGTTCATGTAAGTTCATTTGAATTCGCTACTCGCTTTATAGATTATGTTTTATTCTGTTTTTTCTTTATATTTTATTTTATGTTTTTACGTGTTATTTTTACTTATTGTGTTCTATTTTATTTGTTGTAATTTTTGTAAAAATTTTTTTATTGCTCCTCACAATATTGTATTGATATATTTTGCTTTGGCTATATTGATACAATACTGGAAAGCACTCTTTTTTTGCAGATAGAATCGTGTGGGCTGATGAAAAGATTATATCTCTTATTTTCCTGATTTTTTAAAAAAAAAAAAAATTTTTCATATGTCTGTAATTTTTCTTTGTTTTATCTTCATTTTGAACTCATGAGTTCTATTTACTTTCAGCTTATGCGCAATAAATGAAACTTATTGTTTTTCTGTATTTATTTATTTTGCTGTATATATATATGTANATATATATATATATATATATATATATATATATATATATATATATATGCAGGGGGAGAGAGAGAGAAAGAATACGTAAAAAAAGATGTAAAGATTTTTTAAAAACCGAAGAAAAAATATTTGTTTCTTTTTCTTTTAAGTATTAAAAAATTTCAAAAGAACGGAATGCAAACTAAGGAAAAGATATAATTTCGTCATCAGCTCAAACGATTATATCGGAAAAAAAGTGTTTTTCAATATTGTATTAATATGTATAGCTAAAGCAAAATATATCAGTACAATAGTGTGAGGAGCAGCAAAAACTGAAACGAAAATAGAACTTAGAATGCAAAATATGTAAACTAAAACAGAAATGCAAAATAAAACAACCAAGCAAAAAACAGAAAACAAAAAAATCAAGAAAACACAGAATAAAACTCAAAATTTAATAAATAAAATGAGTAGCGAATTCAAATATACTTACACTTACCGAAATTTTTCAAAAATGATTTAAAACATTTTCGTAACAAGTTTGCCAGATTATAAAATATGAAAATAGAAGCGCAAATGGAGGATGATGAAATCAACTTATGGCACGTTCTTTCTGAAATACAGAAGCACGTTTGGTTCGTTAGTAACCTTGGATTTGCCCGAATCTGGATGTGCGCTTAGGGTAATAATATTATACCGGATAATTTAAAATTTATCAGGCTGAATTTTAATTATAAAATTTTTTATAACATAAAATCAACTCAACGATTTTATTTAGAATTTAATTGCATTAGTTGGATATCCATTGATTTTTTTTTAAATTTTGGAACAGTTCGTCGATTTGTTTTTTTTTTTTTTTTTCGATAGAAAAAGCATTACTGCAAATTCTTTTAATTCTATTCATTTGCGTAAACGTCTTTAATTCATTAAATATTCATTAAATAAACGTCTTTAGAAACATTAGAATTCCATGTAATTAGTTTGTTTATACTAAATTTAAAATATTTTCTTTTATCGTATAAATCAATAATACAGACATATTCTTCTTTTTTAATACTTAAATCCATAAAATTAAATTTAATATTATCCTCGCGGTTACGAAGCAAGTTTTGCTTCCTATTCATGACGTTATCATTCGTTGAGTACAATTTTTCAATAAAAAAATATAGTGGTACACTTTAGACACCTAAAAATAATGAATCGAAATTCAACTGGCACACTAATCGAAAAAAAGTGAGCTATCTCTGATTTGAACGGTTAGTCCTGATCAGCATAACTGGTAAAATATACAACAAGGAAGGGTACATAATGCTCAAAATATTGCAGAACAATGAAAAAGCACTGTTCCTCACTCAGATTTCTATTTTTATTAACTTTCAGCTGTCTCCTTGGCACCATTTTAAAGGTCAAATTTAGATTTTGCATGACACCCTTTAGAAATTTGAGAGATTTTGCAAAGCGTTATTTTACGTTAACGGTATCGTTGTCATTATTTTGCACCAATTAGCAAATTTTTGAATTGTTGAGAAATTTTACGAAGTTTTGAGAAATCTTGTTGAGAAATTTCAAACGATGTGAAGCTCAAATCCCTTAGTGGAAAGCCATAGATATATGCTAAATCTCTGTAATGTTTAAGTGATCATTATAATTGTACTCAAACTGTCCCTGAAATTGTATAAATTCGTGAATGCCGGGACCATTATTATTTTCTATGCAAGGTGGCCGAGTCTGTAATCAAGTGGTGAGAACTATTTTGTAATCAAGTGGTGACAACTATTTTATGAGGTTATCATATATTTTGAAGGCATTAATTTCATGTTAATGTTAAGAATTCACTTGTAATATAGATATTTAATTTACAAATATTTTTAGTAATTAGTTAAAACATTATGTTTCCTCTATCTGATCTTACGAGTTTTTCTGAAAAATAGCTGATGTTTTTGTTAAATGACACTTTTTGCTGTAATTCAACGAAATTTGACAATTAATGTTTTCCTTAGGTGTTCGACATAAATGGCTCATTCCTCTCATTTATAAATACTTTTGGAGATCCACTTTATGGTCCTCAAGGCTTAGCTATGACATCAGATGGTCATGTTGTAGTCTCTGATTCTGGAAATCATTGTTTTAAAATTTATAAATACTTACAATAACTTTATTGTGAATTTCATTTGAATTAGAATAAATAAAATAAAAAATTCTAAAATTTTTTTTTAATTCATATCATTGTTATTGTCATTTATTTCAACCTTATTGTTATTCATTTTATATTGTGGTTAAATATCTCAAATGAATGACTATCAATGAATAGAAACTATTTTTCTTTTTAACCAACACAGCCATGTTTTTGTCATTGTTATTAACCAAAATTGATTTATTTATAACAGGAACAAATTTCAAAGGTTAAGTCGTGCAATAATATAAAAATCTAGCGAAATGATCACACATAGCCTCACACGGAAGTGTTATAGTTTCGAAATAAGTGTCTTGAAATACTTCATTTATCATGGGGGTCAGATAAACCTTAATTCTCCCAATAATAAAATGCAGTAATTAGGTGCTAGATGGTTGTTCATCTGACAGCCCAGTTTAATGCTGGTTCAAGTTCAAATGTTTCGAAACACATAGTTCAGGAGACACTGTAGGATATTGCAGCAGACGTCGTGTGTCTCTGTTGACCGAGCGTCGTTGGAATAACGGCACTTTATCATGAATAAGTGAAAGACAGTTGTCTGGTCAGATGAATTACGATTTCACCCCGTCGATGGTCACATCAGGGTCTCCCAAAAAGCAGCTGCTCCCCATATGTACAGCAGGTCATACACAGGCAGGTGGTGACGGTATTGTGAATTGGAGGTCCCATATAGTTGTGGTAAAACAGATTCCCGGCTAAAAACCAACTTCGCCCCGGGGTCGAGTTTCCCAAGACAAAATTTATCATGGTTTTTCTTTGATGGACTAACATGAATATGATGGTAATCATCATGAACTTCCATCAAAAACCATCATATTTTATGATGGTACCAACAAGACTGACCATCACCTCATATTAGGAATTGAAACAAATTTATGTTGAACCAACAATATGAACAAAACCACCATTGTTTGATGGTATTTTCCGATGGTCCAACAAATAAATCCGTCAAGAACCAACATGGTTTAATGGTAGTTTTTGATAGCCCAGCAAAAAAATTAACCAGGAACCAATATATGTTGTTGGTCTCAAACTTATATTCCATCAAATACCATCTTAATTCCTGATGGCACCATTAAGTGTGACCATCACCTCATGTTGGGAATTGGAACTAATTTATGTTGGACCAACATAGACAAAACCAACATAGTTTGATGGTGCTTTTCAATCCTCAAACAAAAAATCCATCAAGAACCAACATAGTTTGATGGTATTTTTTGATGGTCCAACACAAAAATTAATCAGGAACCAACATATTATGTTTGCTTCCAACTTACATTCCATCAAAAACCAGCTTAATTTCCGCTGCCACTATCAAGAATGACCATCACCCTATGTTAGAAAACCAACATGAGCTGATGGTTTCCAGCTTAATGTCGCATAAAAAACCATTTTATTCTTTGCTGGTACCATCTAGATAGACTATCACTTCATGTTAGAATTTGAAACAACCTATGTTGAGCAAATTTGAGCTGAACCAACTTTGCTTGATCGTTTAACAAAACACAAATCAACAAATTCCAACATCGTAAACTAAATTGGCTGGTTACAACCACAACTTTTCGCCATAATCCATGCATCTTTATGTTAGTCCAATTTACATTTGAAAATTATATATAAAAAAATTTTTTTGTATNATATATATATATGGTGGGCATTTAAAAATTTTTGCTAATTTTGCCAACAGCCTTAAAACGAAAGAGCTAAAACAAAGGCGCATTGCATAGGAACTAATTTATGAGTATTGGCATGAAAAATTGGCTGAAATAAAAAATACGCTAAAACATAAACTTAGGTAGCACTAGAATTATTATTTTTTGTAAAAAAGCGTAGAAAGTTAACAGTTCTGTAATAATAATGAAAACATGTAAAATAAATTTAGTCATGGGAGAAAATATTGCGTAATTTTTAACACTAGAAAAACTGAACAAAAAACTGAGGGGGTTAGTGATTAGACATCCAAAATCTTAATATAATTATTTAATAAAAATATATAAGCTTGATCATAGAAATTCAGTGGTATTTCATTCTATTTAGTTAATTTACTCTCAAACAAGCTTTTCGATTTATTTTCCTTATGCAATCTATTCTTTGGTAATAATTATTATTAAACTCATTATATAAAAAGCTTATGCTATCTCATGCTCTTTTAAAGCCATATCTTATCACAACTGCTATTGTAAATAGATATAGGGATTGAAAAAAAAATTATTTTTTCTAAAATAAACTATTCATAAATAAACCTTAATTTTTCATCTTTCTTTTCTGACATCCCTAGCCATATATCGAAAGTAAAACCTGGTCGTACTGGTAATCCATTGGACTTGCTGATTTTAAATTTTGAATTGAATTAGTTAAAAACAAAAAGACTGTTTTGAATAATTGTAAATAAATTTGGATTTCATTGGAATTCGCTCAGAAATTTAGCAACTTGAGAGAAAGCTTCCAGAAAGTTCCAGAAATATTCTTTGATGCTTAATAATTGAAGGTAATCGCTATTTAATTCCTACATGGTTTATTATAGTTATAAAGCAAATTTTACATTAAGAAAAGTATTGATTTCAATAAATTTTGCACGTTTAAACTTTTCATCGGGATCACCTTTACATCTAATACAGAAAAATAAACTATTTATTAAAATTTATTAGTCAACTCCATTGAAATCCAATTTTATTTTCTTGCAACATACAAGCACAAGTTCTTAGTTTTAAAAATTTTATTGGCAAGAAAAATATTGGATTACAAATCATTCGAAGTGGGAAAGAACAATATATTAAATTGAAAAAAAGTATTTTTATAGTAAATTTAGGCATATCAGTTTAAGCAAATAACTTTAATGGAATACACTGAAGCTATCAATGAACAAAACTATAAGGTCTCAGCCATACACTAATTTGACTAATTTCCAATACCAAAAAAAAAAGAGAGAGAGAGAGAATAAGAACAAAAAGTTGCGCATAATGCGTTATGCAGTATAAACATTGAAATTGTACAATATAAAACGTCCCGCAGTGGACTGATCGTTAAAGCACGGTTCCCAGCAGATCACCGAAGTCAAGCATCACTGGCTACAGTCAGTGTGCGGGTGGGCGACCACTTGGATCAGTCTGCGTAGGGACCGAGGGTGTGAGGTATTGGTCCTCGTTAAACTGTTCTACCGTAAAGTGCTCGACTTCGCGTGCAGGTCGTCGGGCTACCGAAGAGGGGGTTCCATCCCCTCTGCAAAGGATCAAAATTGTGATGGCATGTCTTCGGATCATCCCAGACCGTCACCAATAGCCCATCGTGCAGCTCTAGTGCGACGTAAATTAACTATAACTAACTACTACAATATAAAACAATTATAAGTTTACATTTAAAAAAAGAATCTTGAACTGTTTAATAATAAAAATATAATTTTAATCTATAACGAATATATAATTGCAAATTTTCTCAGATTAAATGTTTAGAAAATATTTAAAAATGTTTTGCGTAACAATTTTGTGTAGGCCACAGTAAAATGTTGTTAACCCAATAAAAGATACTGTACAAAACAATTTTTTTTTAAAAAATTGCTTCCACGATTATCCCCAAAAAATTTTTAGAACATAAATAACTAATAAATAATTAAGATTATGAAAGTCCTGATATGATTAAGATTAATTAAGAAAATTAAGATAAAAAGTTATAAATGAGTATGAAAGTCCTCTAAGGTCAAAACATTTTTCTCTGAACACTTTCACTACTGCTCTTTCTACTTCTTTTTATACATGGTTTTCAGATAATGAAAACTTGTGATTATTTCAGGCTGTGATACAATACAGGTTATTTTAAATGCAGAAGAGGAGACAATGAATAAAATCTGTCAACCTAGAAAAGATAAAAATACATTACTTGAAATAAAAAAACACATTTATAAAAGGTTTTTAATAAATTTTTCTTTAATAATTTAATTTTTTTATGCTGTCACATTACATTATTATCATTCGACTTTTCATTGTGACTTCTACGGAATTAGTGGTTAGCATTTGCTACGCTATCAATTTCTTTAAAAAATAGCCATTAATTTTTTTCGAATACAATTTCGACTACTCCCCCTTAAAATTTACACGAAATACTAACACGATTTCAAACATAAAAAAATCTTAATTTTTTAACATATTTTAATAAAATTAATTGTTTAAAAGTAATAGTAGTGTTTCAAAATGGTCTACGCCGCGTAAAATTAAAATGTCTTCATTAAATATTTATTTCGAAAAAATAATAAACAAATTTATGTAGATCAAAAATAATTGCCTATTAATGAACACTTGAATTGTGCAAACTGTTACTTCCAATTTGTGTACTTTTGAATAAAATGAAGTTTTCAATCAAGTAATACAATTAGTATCAACTTCTCATTAATATTAAAACAATATTTATAAAAAGCATAGATTAAAAGTTTCAATTGACTTTGATAAAACTTGAATTTGAATAGCCCAATTAGATATAGGCTATATACATGGTATTTCGTGAGGATTGCTCTTAATATGTCTTTTTAAATACCTTCAAACGAAAAAAAAAAAGCGCTGTCGTAATTTGACAAATCACCGTTCTGGAAGGCAAAAGAAATGTACAACAAGACACTTTTGACTGAAAAAAGAAATAGACAGGAGTTGAGAAGAGGATTATTAAAAACGCACCTTCAAGTTTCAACATCCAATTAAACCTGTTTAGATGTTAATTATATCTACATTTTTCAACTGAAAAATAGTCAAAATTCAATAGTGCATGTGTTTTTTCCATACCTTAATACTAATTGTAACACACACACTTTTTGTTTTCCTTTTTGATAAGGATTATAAAAATATAAATCAAAAGCGGTATTTAGAGAACACACTATGTATTATGCATTAAGTATTGTATCTATGCTCGCAAAACTAAACACATTTTAATCAAATTTTTTAAAATTTTGTATATCGTATGTTTCCAGAAAGAAAAAAAGAAAAGTTTTTTTGTTCTTTCTGAGAGCAAATAATGTAACTTTGAACAAAAAAAAATAATTTAAC